GGGACAGATGGGGGGGGGGCGAATTAGGGGAAATAGAGGAAAACATTCTCGTTCTGTACAGTACAAATGAATGGATTTAAAACAAGTGTGGTTAAAAGCATGTTTATGGTAAAAAGTTTTATAAACTAAGGGCTCATAAAATCTATGTTAATTACTTTAAAATGTAAATGGCAAGACGTACTCATACACGTAAATATACTTTGTCCAGAAATCTTTAAACGTTTCGGAGCCGTTCGTTATCGTAGCATTGAATCCAGGTGTTTTCAATGATTGCATCAAAGCCGAGACTTTCAAACATTTCACGTACCCTGATGAATAACGTGACGTCACAATCTCAGAAACTACGAAGGTACTATAATGGCAATAACTAATTAAAAGCCAAAGACCCCGGCCAAAGCACTGGAACAAGTTTGCCCTCCTCTCATGATCATCACTAATTTTATACACGATATTCATGAACAAAACTAAACATATTTTAACTATACAATAATCCCAGGTGAGCTATTAAGGCCTCTGGGCCTCTTGTTTAATCAAATACTAATATATTGTTCTGTATTTCAGGAGGGTATGTAATATTTTTCTAACTGCATGTGATCTATTTTGTTAAAATCATGTTTAAATATATTTTACTTTTAACGCAATTTTTATCCATTTCTTTATTTTAATAATAATATAGCGTTGCGTGTTTGAGGAGGGTATGTGATAATGTGATAATTTTTCGAACCATGACATATTGTATTGTTGAGATATATTACATTCTATATAACTTTTGTTATGCATAGGATCATTTTATCGACTACTTTATTCAAATACCAATATGGTGTGTATGTCAGGGGGCTATGTGATATTTCTCGAAATATGTTTGTTCAGATTTCTATAAAATGAATGTTATGCGTAGGATCATTTTATCCACTTCTTTATTCAAATACCAATATGGTGTGTATGTCAGGGGGCTATGTGATATTTTTCGAAATGTGCATTGTTCAGATTTCTATGCAAAGATATTTTAGTTTCTTATGCATAGGATCATTTTATTCACTTCTTCAATCAAATACCAATACATTGTTGTGTGTTTCAGGAGGGTATGCAGCAGAGCAGTCAAAGTCTACCGCTACCGAAGGTATTGCTACTACCGGACATGGTATGGGTGAGTAGCATTTTTTTCATTCATACATTCTAGTTAACTAGGATATATGAGCTAGCTGATGTTGGACGTGGACAAAAGTATATTTTGACATAATGGTACATAAGAAATTTCAGATGACTGTATGCATTATATAGCGTTAGTGCAAGGTAAAAATAAACAACGTGGAATCCGTCGTACTTACGGATGAGGTATGTGGACGTTTACACTTCCGGGGCTTTTGTTTTATTCTCCCTGCACTTTTTAAGTCAATTTTTTCTTTGTTCATATTTTAACATAGTTTTATCGGTTCTGAGTTAGTTAATGATTTTGTTACCATTTTAATATTCTCCTATTGTGTTTAATATATCAGGGATCTCAAGTGAATTGGTCCGATATAAAAAGCACAAATGGGACATAGAATGGTCGTACACAATAATGCAATGCAAATTTGTATTTGAATTTGGTTGATCGGGTAGCGCAATAGATAACGCACTCGCCTTTCACCAAACTGGTCGAGGTTAACCTGCCCGACTACGTAGGTTTTCTTCTGGTATTTCGGTTTCCTTTCTCTTTAAGACCTCCTGCACGCTTACATTCAGGTCAACAAAGGTGATTAATATAAGTTGAAATAACTTGTTTCGTTATTGTTGTAAAATGAATAAAGTTTATATTTATTTTGTAGGTTAATATTTACATAGAACTGACCCTGACATAATAGTAAATACTCTTTTTCATATTTTAGGTGCTGTGGTTACAGATACAGACGCTATACCGCCTACACAACTCAATACTTTTGTTGTACGGGATATGAGGAAACTAGTCCCGGCAATCAAAATTGCAACAAGCGTATGTACTGCTAACAAACTCCAAATACGAAGTAAATAGCTCTAATTATTTATGAAGCGTTGATTATGTCATTAAACTATGCTTCTTTTATTCATCGACCAATCGAGGTGTCTTTTTCCATCACAAAATAACTCTTAAGGAACATCAAATGCACAAAATTACGGGAGCCGGTACGGGTCAAAAGGAAACAAATATTATGCCGTAATAAATAATCTCTATCTTGTTATTACGAGATGGTAGGTCGAAATCATGTGGTAGCTATGTCGTCGTTAATTCGTTATAATAAATAGTAAGTCGTTATTACCATATTACGAGGTAGTAAATCGTTATTACGAGATAGAAGGTAACAATAACGAGATAGCTGTGTTGTAATTACGAGATAGCTATGTCGTTATTACAAGATAACAATGTCGTTATTACAAGATAACAATGTCGTTATTACAAGATTATCATGTCGTTATAACTATATTAAGAGATGGTAAATCGTAATTAAGATATAGTAAATCTTAATTAACAGATCGCTATGTCGTAATTACGAGACAGCTATATCGTTGTTTTCAAAACAGCAAGTCGTTAATTTGGCATATATTTTCTCTCTCGAAGACCCTATACGTTCAAAAAGATAAAACAAGTTGCGAATCAAGATAAACTGAAGGCATGGTCCCTGTCTATACAATAACATCCCCTTAATTCCGTTTTGGATAATATAGTAGAAGCACAATTCCGTTTACTAGGTTACGCATGATCATTTAGTAGGAGTGATAGTTTAACAAAAATAAGGACCGGGGTTCAAATCTCTGTATAGCCCAGCTGATGTTTTTACGCTGTTATTGATTTTATTTTGTTTGGTTCCTTTTATAATTTTTCACACAAGTCCGCTTGGTATGTTTAAATGATTTATGAAAGTTACATGTATGCCGAAAAAATGGTTCCAATTCATAGTTGAAATGTTTGCAGTGGTACAAAAATCCTTAATTATTATGTAAATCAGGAGACAACCACTTGTTTAAGGTTACTTATTGTTATTTACATTATCCTTGACATATTTGCAGCCGTGTGCAGGCCTGACTGTTACTATGGAGGTACATGTATAGCACCAAACCGTTGCAGTTGTCTAGATGGCAGAACCGGACGATTGTGTGAAGATAGTACGTCATTCTTACATTACGTTTCATCGTACTGATTATCTTGTGCATGAAACTGATCTTAATATAATTATAATTACACTCTCCCAAAATAAATGCTAATCACTAACTAAGATATTCTACCAGAATGATAAGCGAATCAGTATTAAAGGTATGTGGGATTGTATCACATATTTATCATATAATAAGTGCATTAAAAATGAAATATTTCATACCATACATTGTCAAACGTACGGTGTATGTATTTTTTAATTTATTTAATTCTTTTATTTTGTTTTTTATGTGGTTTTTGTTATTTTTCCTTTAACTTACCTCCTTTTATTTTTAACTTTTCATTTATTGATTATGATTATTTATCTTTATTTTTGATTTCTTATATTTTTTTCATTCATTCCTGTTTCTGGTAGGTGAGTGTTTATAATTAATCATCCAGACAATAATGATAGACAAACATCACTGCAAAATGATATTAACATTCCATTTCAGAGCAATGTTCATCACATCTTGATCCTTGTTTTCCGGGTTGGTGCATCGGAAATACCTGCCAATGCTCCAATGCGTTTGGCGGAAGTGGCTGTAAAGAATGTAAGCGAATACGTATACACGTTTTAGTCACCAGCATACAAGTGCAGGTGCTTCCTGATGAGAATAAACCAAATGGTATTGCTTCTCAAATAATGAGCATGACATGATGATATGAATATGTATTCTGTGTTTCGTTTGAGCTTGTTTACTTGTCATTTTGACCTTGTTTACGTACATATTCACTCGTTTGGTTCATATCAAACGTTGTACGGTTCATTGACACTATTATACATAACCCAGGGATGATTTTTTTTTCATAAAAACATGTAAACGTCTTTTTTTCATTATTATTGATTATCATTGCCCCTTCGTTTCAATCCATTAAGATACGGTTTGTGATTTTCGTTTCCAGTGATATCATTGGATTACAAACCCATCATCGACAGTTGCCAAACATCCTTCTCATTCTTTGACCGGGTAAAAGAAATGCAAATTTACGAGTATACAGTAGACGCAACAGGATCTAATCAAACGGAAATAATATGGAGCAATCAAAACAATTACAATATATTAAACATGACCTTTAGTGCGTCCTTGGATTGGGAGTCACTCAGTGAAACACTTCCCATGAAACCAGATTACATCGGCGACCTCGTGATTGGAGTTGTTAGCGCTATGGTGGACACAGAGTATTCCAGATTACCGTTACAAGGTATGTATTATAGTAAAATGAAAATTATATCGTGCATATATCTTTACCTTGCAAAATTTCTAACGAGTCATTTTCAAAGTGCTCGTATTTTTATTCAAGTTTTAGAAGAAGTCACCTAACCGATCAAAGGGTTTTTGCGTATGTGAATGTTTGAACGTTCATGGTAATTGCTTTATAAGTGCCGCATCACCATGGAATGCCCTATAGAAATCACGTTGTGTATCCATCTGTCTGTCTGTCCGTCCGTCTGTCCACACTTTCGTTTATTGAGATTATCTCGGAAACCAAAAGACTAATCTTTTTGAAACTTTGTGAAATGTAGATGTGCAATGGGGGTTTTGAAATAATCTAGGGTCAATGTCACTGTTCCTTTAAATAGACTGACGGGGAACTGTCTTTATTTCTGAATCCAAAAGTCTCACATTTTTTTAATTTGTACATGGTAATACGCTGTTTTAACTAGATGTGCAATTTTATTTTTAAAGTTTTTAATGTCAAGGGCAAGGTTACCGTTACTAGAAATATACACGGGGTCGGTCAGGCACATGGCGAGGCTCTTGCTGTCAATGTTTTAAAAAAGTTTGAAAATTGCAGTCTATAACATTACATGACCGCTTCAAACAGAGTAAGTAGTCTTATAAGAGAAACATTCAATGCAAATAGACAATATGAAATGTGACTTTATGGTTTAGTGACCGGAAGCAGTGTTATTGACACTTCTCCTGCATTACGGTCCTGTATTGATTTTATGTTGACCAATCCGAATGGTATTTTCTTCTGACTACATTCAGTGCCGAATATTTTCTGTTCAGCTTCCGATGAAGCGGATGCTAAATAAGTGTTTTTTGTAACTTTTTGGAATATGCACTTACTACGTAAATGTTAACTTTTTGTTAGCAAAGTGTACCTGATAATAACGGGAAACGGTAGCATTCCATTCAAAGTTGTCTGTAGTGTTGTTGTCAAGCGTGATGTTATTGGAATATGGCGCCAAATGTAACGCAACAAAATCCTGCAGTTTGTTGATGACGTGACAGTTTTGTTTATGCATAATATAAAACATATTGAAATTTAATGAGTTCCTCTAGAATACCGGATATATTTCACAAGTATGACAAGAAATACCGTGTTGCATCTAACGAGTACAAAGGTAGTTTTATTCTGTCATTCCCCTAAAATATAAAGAGTATTCAACTGGTAACTGAAATGTTTCCTCTTTTTACTTGCATTGCTACCAATAAAGATATAAGGGTCGAGTCGATAAACGGGAGTCACATCTGTGCAATATCAAATACCACAGCGGTAAGCGCTGCAGATCAATCATTATATCTTCAATGTCCAACAAAGCAGTTTTTCTTCTACAATAATGGTTAGAGATGCATAATAAAAACTGCATTACTCTATGTTATACTGTATACTGTAAGAAATTTAAGCATTGAAGTGCTTTCAGTTGGCATTCATAGGCATCATGAATTCCAACTAGACAAAGGCAAATTCACTGAAGCGCTTTGACTTTGTTTAGTTATGAATGCTAACTGAAAGCATTTAATACATCTATTTACCATTTTTTGGAATCAGTTCATCTTATATAAAATTAAATTACATTTATTAATTTTCAGCATATAATTCAAATAATTTATGTATCTTGTATCCTTGTTCAATGAATAGAACAGTCATCGCCCAGGGAGAGTCAGCGATGTCCAACGTAACTATTATGAGGTCATAATAATGATGACGTCAACAATCGGTCCATGGTATTCATAGCCTACATGAATGTCAAATGAATTTGGTAGGGATACATATTGGCAATATCAAACGATGGTAAATATATATATACATATTAATTTGGCACATATAAGGATGGTCTAAACAAAAAAGCTATGATTTGTTCCAACCAATACAATTGCTTTTCCAGGGACGACCAAGAGAGAAAATGTACTTGAACAGAGAAAGACATACAGCTGTCAGGGCTTATCAGCGTCAAATCCCGTAACAAACACTGAGCTCAACTGTCGATTGAGAGAAGACAGTTTTCAGCTTCGAATAGATTCTGGAGACTGGTAAGAGTATCGTATATGTAATAATAATGTTAAACTAATAATGTTAAAACACTTCCAAATTAACATATATACAATGGTATTGAGACTACAAGCTGTATTAGGTATTTCACTCAATATTGTATTAGTCTGTCGCTAGAATTCACTTTGTTATGTTTAACATGTTATGTCCATAATGTTCCGTTCTAAGAACAAATCAACCGGTCAATAATGGGCAGAAAAAACAATGAGAAATGCATTCTGTTTGCACAGCAGCTTTCCTGTTTACTTTATAACTAGACATAAGTATAGATTGTGAATGATTAAATTGTACAGGTTTTATTCTTCACTTCATTCCCATTTTTGTTATAATGGGGAAAATCATTAGTGTATTTGTATGTCAAAATAACTAAAACGAACCCTTTACAAAAACATATTCCATTTTCAGGTTTACCTTCACGTTTTCTGCTAAGACAGGTGGTTACAGAAATCTGATAGATACAAATACCGGCCAACCTCATAAAACGGAAATTTACACCGGAAGTATCCAAACAGTCAAGGTGATGCAGTTCCAATTTGATTTTGAAGACCCTGTGCACTGCAACAGCTCCTGCCCATCACAGCCAGATTTGGAAGTGGAAAAAGACATAACCAAGGTAGACGCCCAGTCAAGTTCCACATGTGACGTAATAATTGTCTACATTTTGTGCATCCGGTATATCTGTTTGGGTTAACTAACGAATTATATTAATTTCTTCTATGTTTCTTCAATCAATTTTTCACACTGTCTTTTTTAAACATTTAAAAGGAGATTCTCTTTGAAAATGTGTTTAAAGCAAATGATAATAAAAATATATGAAAAAAGTAGTTTCTCTAACATCTTCAATAACAGGAAAATTGTATATTAATTTGTATCTAATATTGAATATAACAAATAAAATTATTTGTCAATATCAAAACAATTTTGTGAAGTGAAGGAACCATACACTGTTTGCAATTATTATTTTGAATAAATATGAGTTGGCGCTGTCTACCAATCTTTACTAATGGAAGGTTTTTCTTGGTTTCAAGTCACCTATTATCGCTCGTTGGTCTGGCTGGTCAGACGCCTTCAGCGGGGTCGCTGATTATACATTGGAAGTATTCAAGCTGCAGCCCAATCGACATTCCAAAATTCTAGAAGAGCCTGATCCCCTTGGACCTGTTGTTATGTATCGAATGAACCACACCAACTCATCTAACGTTTTCACCAAAACACATACCCCTTCTGAACCCGGAATGTACAGTCTGATTTTGGAGACAAGAGATGTAGCTAACAACTCTATCTACGTCAGAAGATTCGTTCTGTATGATCCGGTGTCAGCAATCTCGGTCAGCAATAATCATAGATTGTTTGTATCTTCTGCTGAAGCAGACACTGGGCATAACTGGCAGTCCTGGTATGGGAACGCTACTGGCGGTCGAACATATATAGACATTACTTGGAAGGATTACTTTTTAAACAAACTTCACGAAGATAACTACTTCCTCAACTCTATCAGTCCCTATCCTGATCAACTGGATGATGGAGGAAGACGTGGGGAAGGATACAAGAAGATATTACCACAGTTTGAGGATAACGAAGGAGAAAGACAGACGGCGAAGATCCCCAACGCCCGGGGTATCGTACGCTTCGACACTGTGACTAACTATGCTAATGATGGTGGATCTTCACTGGCAAATCCTCCTAGTAGCTGGCGTACACTGGATGGTATTAAAGATGGCGATACAGAATATTTTGATCGAGGCGCTATTGGGGACGGAAGTACGGCAAAAGTATGGGTTCGAGCTTACGACGCTATGGGAAACACCAAAATAGAATCGACACTTGTTCATTTTGACATGTCTCAGCCAGATGTCCTTACTGAACCCTCAATACAAACCAACATAGAAAATGGAACTTTCCCGTTTTCCAGCCGGTAAGATATGTTATAATTCAGTATTCTAAGAGTTCTCTGAAGATTATCATTTACAAAGAGACATTTCGTTTACGCGATGCAGATAAAATGTTCATGTTACAAATAGATCAACTTGTTTTGAGAGGACGTCGCTCTCTTTGAATAGTGACACGTAACATACTTTGTTAAAACACTTTATCTATACGGCGGTAAAGTAATATTGGCCCTTGGGACGATAGTCTCTTCACATTTTCATTAGATTGCTAGTTCGACAACATTTCAATATTTGTGAATAGAATATTTTCGAACAAAAGTAGCATTTTTTCGCTAAGGGTTGATACAATGTATTTTTGTTGAATGAATAACTCCTTCATGTATAAATGATCATAAACAGAAAATTGCATTGTTACTTTCAGAAATCAGAGAATCCTTAAGTCAGAAATAGATTGATTTCCTCTGATTCGTTATTTATCTTTTAACGTATTTGATGGTAATGCAAAAGATAAATAATCTCGCAGTCGCATTTATTTATTTCTGAAACGTATCCTGTAGAGAAGATAGCACATCATTACTGATCTACATGTACTTTTTTAAAACATGGTCGAATTTCTAAAAACGAATTATATCTTATAATATATTATTTTTTTGATTCATCGAATTAACGAGAGTAAATTATTTAACATTGTAAGTGTACATCTACTTTTTCCCGATTCGAATGATGATTAATAATAATATATACCACTACTTGTAGCATCAATGTTGCATGCGAGGACGAACACAGTGGAGTGTACAAAATACACTGGAGATTAAGGATGGCAAACAACAGATCATTTGTGAAGATGGAAGGGGACGCAATAAACCCAGTGGTAATATATATCTATAATGAACAAACTATAAACTGAAATCTTGGTTATTTATTTGCAACGGATACTTTTGATGTGCGTATTGCCTTTCATAAAATGATAACTCAAAGCTCTTCTCTCATTCCTTAACGTTTTGCGCAATTTTCCCGTCAATAACCTGTTACATTGTCCTCTGCCATATGCAATGTATTTAGTTTGTCTGTACATCAATTCTCATGTTTTGGTCATATAAATTGTAAATTTCATAACCCAAAGGCCGTGTGTCTCCTTTGAGGTGGGGGCAAAAATTACCATAGTTAATGCAAAAAAATATATAACACTTTAAGAAGATCTGCCTATTTTCATCAGAAAGTAATTCAAACTAGTATAATTAGGATGAGATGGTCCAATGGCGGAAAATTGACTAAACTAGGGAAATAACACTTTTGCTTATATTTTGTGTAATAATGATTGAATTAAAATAACATGACTAGCGAAAGAAAGATTGTGTGTAGGGTTACGGGGGTAAGGGGGAATTGACTTAATTGGGGGAAAACCTTATTCAAGACAAAAATCATTTCAATACGGTTCAGCACTTTTTTCGTTTTTTTAACGTGACAAGTAAGTGATTTTTTCCACTCCATGTCGCAACAATGAAAAATCACTATGATACAACTCAGGTGACCGCTAACGCCATTTTGGCATCCCTTTGATTTAAACCTCTTGCGTCCTGATTTCATATCAAACGTATTAATATGACTTTAAATTAGATATGCATCATTCAATATCTCAATATTGATCATGACGGGCACAAAGAAGTTTTGATTATATGTCATATGTAAGAAGACTCGTGGTCTTTAAATTATTTAAAAATAAATGCAATGTACTCTGCATTAAACACAGTTCCCCCTTTCAATTATTGAAATATTTTGAGTGGAAATGGCAAAATATACAGTCAGAGATAACAACCCTCTAGTAAGTATGACGAGTGTAAATTCATGAAAAGTTCCAAGATCAGTGGCCATACCACAATACCAAGTAATCTAAAATAAAAAGTGTTTTTGTAATTTAGCAATTCAACATTTACATTTATTTTATACACATACTCAACAAATAGATTATTCGTTTTTTTACAACAGCAAGGTGACGACTGTAATAGAGAATGTTACAGGACCAACATTGGAGAGAGGTATAACTATAGCATAGAATTTGACATAAACCACTGCTGGATGAGGGTTCCGAAAGAAAATCTCGAAACCCAAGTGATGGAACTCGAGATGGAAATACTTAACTCTGCAATGCTCTCCCGAATAAGGGTCTTGACTGTAAGTAAATTTCTGTCTGTCATAATTTTAATTGCGCATTCTCCACATACATAAAATATCAATGGCAATTATTAATTTTCATTTTTCAGTAACATCATCAAATGACGTATTTTCATCTTGTTAAGCACTATTCAAGTTATCAGTGGTCAAAAATGCTCAAGACACCAACTTTTGTAAGACTTCATCTGTGTTAAAAAACAACTTTCATATTCCTATTGTAGTTACTTTCCAGGTTCCTAAATATATATCCAGAGACTACCTGCAATAAAGACCATTTATGACACTGCCAAATAAGCACATGTTTGACCGTATAACATAGACTTGATTATGGGGGGAATACCATACTATTAGCATTTTCTTTAATTGTATATAAATTTTAAATAATATCGGGAAATTAGTCATCCCCCTAGTTAACATCGCCCTAGTTAACTTACTACTAAGGAGGATGTTTACCTGTTTTAGATCAGCAGCATCAGAAGTTACAGTGGTATCGAAGACTGTAAGTATTTTGGTATTGAACAGATAAAGTAAAAAATGAAACAGAAGAATAACTCGTCGCCAGTAAAATGTGAAAATTGACATATTTACGACTTCGATGATACAAAAACGTAAAAACGTTTTTTGAAAAAATCTCAGAAAGCTGCTTCACTTTGTTCTAAACTGTCTACTGTTAATCAGTTTATTACACAGATTATTTCGCAAATTATATCCTGTTAGTTCTATTTGCGAATTCTAGTTTTTTTTAATATTTATAAACTATATTTATATTTGGGAACAGACTGGAACTGAAATGTAGCTGTTTTAACACGCAATTAGTTACATGCTGATTTAACTTAGATTTTTCTGTTTAAACAATTGAAATGTAAATTAACTGCATTATCACGTTAATCTTTTTTTAGATTTCGGGCCAATGCATATCAGGATGACCCGACAGTCCGAGACTGGTGTCAGTTTATCATGGGACCACGCCCCTTCGTGTTATGCACGCGATACAATTTTAGTTGTGGTGGTGATGCCAGACAATAGCACCAAGACCTTGAGAGCGGACAAGGACGCTGACCGGTTTGACATCACTGGACTTGTGGCAGCCACCAGGTATCCAATACAACTATACACTGTCTATATCATCGATGACGAACAGGGGGAGACAATCGATAGCCGAGTGTCCAACTACGTTATTGAGACAGCGAGTAAGTTGCTGCTTTTTAAGCACCCATATCACACCTTCGTATGAGTCAACTCTGATCAGTTTTGAATTATTTTTTGGACAATTCGGAACAAAACGATCAATTTGAGTCGAATCCAATTGTTTTTATATTAAAAAAATATCGGTGTTAAGTTAAATATGGCATTGACATCGACGTTAGAATAGTATTTGTTGTTTTGTAAACATTCATTATTTAGTATGTCAAAGGGTATATAATAAACAAATTAAATCATATATATGAAAAATGCCAACAACAACGATATATCAATGGAGATCAATGTATGATATAGGAATTATCGTCTTTCGCATAATTATGTTGCTGTGAAAACAGATATTTTTGTTGGTCCTTAAGTTCTTGTTTTCCCGAGAAAAAAACACCATTTCGTTGATTCAGGAAAACGTGAACTACGATTCCCCACTCATATACGGATTCTGACTTAATATAAAAAAAAAATGATAACTTCGTGGACCAATAAATCCATGGAAGCAGATTACTCTCGAAATTAAAAACCCCTTGAAAACTAGTGATCTTACAGTATTTGTCGTTATACCATTGAAGATTTGTTTCTTTGTTACCAGAACCACCAAAAAGCTCTGGTTTATCTGGCGGTGCAATTGCTGGTATTGTCATTGGTAAGTTAAGCCGTATATAAACAAAAACGTGAATGATACTGTAAAATGTATGTAACACACTTACGTGAATGCACATTTAAATATTAAGTTGTAGATACAGTATGCCGAAAATGAATTGCATTGCAATCATTACATCACAAGTCAGACCTGTGTAGGTTCCTCGCCATTGCATAGGTCAACTTAATGATTCACGGTCCGCTTCTAGTTAACATTAATACACCGGTTATAGCGCAATTCATGGAGTATATCAGTTCAAACAAGTGGACGGAGTAAATAAAGCTAGATGATCTAATATTGGTGGAAATGTAATAATGTCTACAATGGAATAGTTCTTAAAATGTAAGTGTACGGAATGAAGTGTTTATTTTTCATTGTCATGCAGGTATGAATTTAAAAAGCTGACATAGTTAGTTACAAATGGTTTCAAGATGTCTGTTTACCTCAATATTTTCAAAAAGGCTTATAAAAATCACGATTAATGCTAGCAATTAATCATTACTTAATGCTGCGAAACAAAGACACACTCTTTTTACACATTGGATGTGAAATTAATAGAATCTCATACCGCCTTAAGGGTGAGAAAGGGAAATTTCAACTGGGGGGGNTCTGCCGATTGTTTGGCAGCTAAGGGCTGAGATTCCCAATCTTTAAACAATGGGATGAATGACTACTTTCTCTTACCCTGTTCCCTCATTGTGTAACATCTACAAAATGCAATGTTATCGTACAGGCTTAGTTCAGGGTTGACGTGACGTCAATGCATTGTTGACATAACGTCATACAATTGTTATGAATTAGGTAATCTCCCGTGTCGACCCCAGGGTGAATATATCTCACTCCGGGAAAAGTGTGGATACACCTGCCCATGGTAAGATAAAGGAGCCTTTTCACACTTTTCTTAGTGTGAAATATCCTTGTCTCATCCTAGAATGGAGACGGGGGATTCCCATATCAAAACGTTTGTATGATGTCAACAATGCATAAACGTCACATCAACAATGCATTCAGCTTGTAAAATTAACATTAAATCGTGTATTTGACAGTGTCAACAGGGTAAGAGTCTCAAGTCAAGTTTCTAAACCCTCGGCAAGCCTCGTGTTTTGCAAAGTCGGTGAAAGATTCTATTAGTCTTCATAGCGGCAAATGTTCATCGTATGACACCATTAGCCAATCATGGAGTGGCAGTCATTCATTTTCAGCACATTTCTTTAATATTTTCAGTGATTCTCCTTCTCATTGTTATTGCCATCGGTGTTGTATTACTGTGGAGAACTGGAAAGCTGACAGTATTGTTAGAACGGATAAGATCCAGAAGGGACGGGGAGGAAGCTCCGTCTAACGGATTCAGTCGCACTGAGATGAGAGAAAATGGACACAAAATCAGAGGAGTTGAGGTATGAAACTACGATTATACTATATTTCTGAATTTATAATGAAAATATAATGGTGACAACATACTTCTTTTTCCGTACAAGATATTTATAAAAAATAAGAAATAAGAAATAATTTGTGTAACAAATTTCACGAGAATACAAAAATATATCAATTAATAAGTCGTATCCGTAAGTGTTTATTTTGTATTGTTTTCCCGCAAACAGGCAACAGACAGGAATAATGTAATTACCAACAGAACTATGTTTTTTCTAGATATAATATCTGGATGTTGTGTGAGAAAAAAAAACTCGTAATGGTTTGTTATAATTTTTATCGTACTCTCCTAAGTTAATATAAAATTGTAAAAGACGCTAGGTAAACCTCGTGTCTTTATACAATTTCAAAATGATAACCAACAATCACTCGCTGGAAAACTCTATTTATCCCAATAAGAATTATGCCGTTTGAAGTCCACGAAAGTCATAAAAAATATCATATTCTAAATTGTAACAGTTCTATGCTGGTATGAAACATAAATTAAGGTGCTGAATTTCAAATTCAGATACATATATTGTAGAACAAGACATATTCACGGAGCTTCAACGACGACATGATTTACTATGGGGAAGTAGATCTCGCGTCCAAGCCATGGGCACTGTCGCGGAAGGATCTCTCATTAGAACAAGAAATCAAGTCCGGTCGTTTTGCCACTATATATAGGGCAAAAATGTTTTCCAGGCAACACTCTGACGCTGATACGGTCGTAATTAAGGCACTGAAAAGTAAATATATTTGTCTTGTTATAACAACTAGATATGATATCTGTTTAGTGAATACTGCTATGTAGTTGTATTTTCTGTCAACATTTTCCCATTTTATTAGTATCAAATATCAGTAACATACACTTGTAAAATGGTTGTCTTGTACAAAAATCTATGTATTAAGGTAACAATTATAAACATCAGTTTTGTAAAACAATAACATCTGGTGACTGTTATGTATTTTTGATAGACTGGATATGTTCTCTAAGTATGTTTGAATCCTAATGACATCGTCTTGTAGACAATTACTCCGAAATGGATCTGACTTTGATGAAGGCCAAGATAAATTTCTACGGGTCCGAAGTTGGTAACCATCCGAACATCCTCAAGTTTATCGGGGCAGTAGATGACATTCCAAGTACGTTACCCAACAGCAGAGCAGAATCTGTTAAAATATCGGTTAACTGATATAAATACTCTGTTAACTGATATAAATACTCTGTTAACTGATATAAATGCTCTGTTAACTGATATAAATACTCGGTTACTGATATAAATACTCGGTTAACTGATATAAATACTCGGTAAACTGATATAAATACTCTGTTAACTGATATAAATGCTCTGTTAACTGATATAAATACTCTGTTAACTGATATAAATACTCTGTTAACTGATATAAATACTCAGTTAACTGATCACATATTATATCCAAGATTTCGAAAGTTATGTTTATGATAAATACATTAGCATGTGCTTTTAAGCGCAAATTTGTATGGAGTTGCGAGTCCCTTGTTGTGGCAAAATTACCAATAGTATGGAAAATACAAAACTGAAGGGTAACATTCTATTTATGGAATCCGGTAATCACATCAAATATGTTCTTGTTCAATATTTCTCCGGTAATTGCACAAATTCCTGTATATTATTTTCTTTATTGCATGCAACAGTGGGTCCATTTATGGTCCTGGAATACTGTGAAAATGGAACCATGAAGGACTATCTAACAAGTAAAAAAGACCATGTGGATGAGCAAGTGCATGAACGACTCTTCAAATTCGCCTTCGACGTGTGCAAAGGCATGGAATTCCTGGCGAGCAAAAAGGTAAAACTTACGAATAATCAATATCAATTACACATATTATACATTTACTGCTTATTCTGTATGTATGCATACAACAAATCAATTCCTTGTTCCGATCGGTTTCGGACGCTGCCATTTGAATGACCATTTTTAAACGATAATTTACCGTAGACCATGTACATTTTGAATTATACATAAAACATACTTCAAACTTTTTGTTTTCATTTAGGATGAAGTATGTTTATCTACGGCTAGTAGCGTCACGATCTTTTCGGATTAATCTTGTCTCATTATGTAACATTCTTATCTTATTTTTATCACGAAATATTGCATTTATGTTTTCGGAAGATCGTGCATCGAAGATTAGCTGCAAGAAACATCCTCCTCACGTTCCTCTACGAAGTTAAAATTTCCGGTTTCGGCCCGGTGCCTAACGAGGAAAAGGACAGCGAAAAGGGGGTAAGAATGATGATTTACTAAATAACCGTCTGATTATGGAACTGAAGTATTAACAAAAACATCAAAACACAAACAAACAGAACATTAAATAGTTTTGTTTTATAACATGAAAAAATTACGAAAATAATATTTAATCTATCAAATTATTGATAACCTGATAATTACCAGATATATAATTATAAAGTTTCCAGATATATTTATAAAGTTTAACATTATAACAAAAATAAAACGTATTTGACGTAACACCTTTACTTATATTGTTTTGAAGTAGCTAAACCAACTAAAATATCAATTTGCATGTTTTTGTACACTGAAGGATAAATATCGATTTGCATGTTTTTGTACACTGAAGGAGAAATATCAATTTGCATGTTTTTGTACACTGAAGGAGAAGATCCCAGTGAAGTGGCTACCGCCAGAGTGTATCGAGACCAGGACAACACTTGACGCCACAGAGAAGACCGACGTATGGTCTTTTGGCATTGTGCTGTGGGAGATCTTTACCATTGGTACGACCTAATATACTGTAGATGCTGCAACTTCATAGCTGTGATATCCAGTTCTAAGTAGACGGCAAAAGAATTGTATTTGCTTTCAGGTTATACAGTCAGGAAGAATAAACGCGAATGGCAGAGGTAGACGCTTATCAAAATAGGTTTTATGAAAAATAATTCTCATTTGTACGGATTTATTTTGTTTTCGTCAATGTCCCCACCGCAAAGGATGCAAACGGCCATCGATTTTAACGGTGCACGTCATACGGCGCTGGTTTGCAGATGCAGCTCTAACAGTTCTATTATTTTAATTATATATTATGTCTATTGGTAATATTAAATTCCAGTTGTCCACGTCGTTTCGTATTAAACTTAAACGTAATTCATGAAGTAATTTTGAGTTTCTCAATCACATTTTAATGTAGTCTTATGATAGGTATTCTGTAGTTAGTTTTTAATGTAATGTGTTTACTTTTAACTGATACTGATACTGATGTCATCTATCTATCACGATCAACAATTTGCATTTCTCCACCACAAGTCAAGGTACATATGTTTTACTACAGGCGAAACCCCCTTCGCAGACGTGCGGTCTGCAAACTTACTGCCACATCTTAAGAAAGGAGAAAGGCCACCAGCACCTGAATACGCCGATCAAAAGTAATTAACCCCTTTTTGTTATCTGTAATTCATTTTATTAACATACCATTCAACAAAGCTTTAATGGCATGTGTTTTCTGTCAATAAAAATATTTGGTTTCGAAAAAATTTTGCATTATATAAAAATTACTATATTTACATCCCCGTTATCCATGGATCCATGTATAGAGGGGATCCACCCAGAAGGACGTACATCATTGTATTATTTTGGGAAAATGGATTTTTCTTAGTTTTACATTACAAAAATCAATTCTACAAATCTTGACTCAATATTGCGTTTATATAGAAGTAACTTTTGGTGCTATTCATATAAAGTGTTTAGTACATAACGACCATTATTTTAGAACAAACATTTGCAGTGCACTTCAGACCTTCTATGAGAAATCATTTCCTTTTTCTTTTATATTTTTTATTCCTTGTGGCATACAATGTTCCCATCGCTATCACATGCACTCCAACCTTGTGTAGTTCCATGTTTGTAAATATAATTTGTTTAACCTATTCAATAAAAACGTTTTAAAATCATTCCATCAAATGAAATTTAATCCTCTGAATTAATTATTTAGTAAAGAATATTTCATTGTTTCCCTTATTCCGTGTGAACAAAAAACTCCCCTTGCTTACTAAAGAGAAAATGTGATTAAAATTTAACTCGAGGGATATTTGTGAGGTCCCTGACAATAACTTAATGTTTTAATTAGATTTCGCTCTAATTATATGATTAACCAACTAGTAGTGCATAGCCTGGTGGTCTTATACAACTCAAGAGATCGTTCACAAGTACATAAATAAATACATGTTGGATAGGTAGGCCAGCAATATTCCACTGGTGATTTCAGAGAATTTGATATCAGCTTTTAGTGCCTTCGACTGACACTTCCCGATATGAATTCTTGCACCTAGCAACAACTGAAAGAATTAACAAGCGACTGACGCTTCCCGACATGAATTCTTGCACCTAGCAACAACTTAACAACAGAATTAACCAAGATGATAGCCCGTTGTGATTCGCTTTAGGAACTTAGTGACGGTTGGGTGTGTCAGGGAAATGTTCATAAGAAAAGAAAATATTTCATCTTTCGAATAGGTAGACTTCGTGTTTTTAGGCAGACGTAACGTTGATGTTGTGTAATTATTCATATCTTCATAAATAACTGTATCGCAGTTAGTGGCAAAGGCCAACGGAGAGTTGTTCTGACTACAAAATTCGTTTAAAAAAATAAAAGGTATAGTAACGGTTTAGGCATGAAATGAAAGCAGAATGCATCTTCGATCCTTTTACGTTAATTAATAATTGAAATTTGTAACGGGTTAGGCATGAAATGAAGCAGAATGCATCTTCGATCATTTTACATTAAACAATAATTGAAATGTGTAACGGGTTAGGCATGAAATAAACGCAGAATGCATCTTCGATCCTTTTACATCAAATACTAATTTAAATTCGGATAACATTTATTTCACAGGATGTATGGTACGATGAAAAAGTGCTGGCATGAAACTCCAAAGAAGAGACCGTCCTTCGCTAAAATACGAGCGGAACTTGAGACATTGTTCGTAAGCAAAGGCAGTGACGAGTTTTACTACGACAGCAAGTTCATCTACGACAATAACAACTAGATTGAACTTGTACTTGACATCACATTGGATTCTGTAAAACTGAGGGCGACATTTGCTCACTTTGATACTATTAGACAAACATTCATTCACTGGCAATTTTAAATGAATATAATTTAACATACCGAAAAGACATACCATGTGTTAACTAATGGTTAACCTGAAAGACTTTGTAAATATGAGGACATTTAACCACTTTGTTATCAATGATTTAAAAAAAATCACTCAGAGGAAACTTTAAACAAATACAATTTAACGGGCCGAAAGGACTTACCATGTGTTAACGAATAGCCAGTCTGGATGACTTTGTAAATATGAGGACGACATGCACTCACTTTCCTCGTTACTATTGGACATCTAAACAAAAAAATCTGGTAATATGTGTTGCATATCATTTAACACGCCATGAATGTACATTTCCATGTATTAACTGATATCTAATGTTTCTGATTCCAAAAGTGATGGGTTACAATGTTACAAAATAGCTTAATCAGACGTTTATTAAGCGAAATATAAATTCTAAAACATATGTTACATGTTCTTCAAATACAATTTTTTATGTATTTTATTTGCACATATACAAGTAACAAGTGCTTCCAACTAGTTTCACTGTCATGTATACGCCATTGCAAAATGTATGAGAAATGACAACACTAACCGTTTATCAGAATGTGATACTCGTGCATTTCACTGTAACTTACATTTCATTATTCATTTTTATTATGCAATCAGATGAATTATTTCGATGGCTGTATTTGTTAAAGCATTGAAAAAAATAATTATGCAAATACTGTTTTAAGGGTTGCTTAAAACGCCCCTTTCAAAACGTGTCGCACAAGTAACATGAAATGTAAATATATGAACCGGCATAAAATGTATCAAAAAATGTATTTACTGAATCGTTCGTCGTTAAAAACCAATAGTACTTACATGGCTTATTATGATAATTATTATAATATTTTCCCTGTAATTCATTTTGTCATCTATCTACACCATGATTTCGTTGCCAAAACGAATAACACTCGACATGGAGTACCTGACACAGAAAGGCAATCTAACTAAAAGGAAGTAAACATCTCTTCATACATTCTGTATAACAGAGGTTTTAGGTGTCATACCAGGAATGTTTTCCCAGCGCATCTTTCCATGTTAGGTAAGAACTAAATAATGACAATTCTTTACAACAATGGATTATCTACAGTTGTTAGGTAAGAACTAAATAATGACAATTCTTTACAACAATGGATTATCTACAGTATATCACATTTACAAGCTTATCTTAGTATCGGGATGTAAGTATGTTTTCAGCCTCCGATGTTTTAAATATTGACCTTAGCTATGTTCATCAATCATATCCTTACATCGATTTCCTGTTACAATTGTATGATACCTTTATCAGTATCTGTGTATATCTATATTGTAAATATGTTCATCAATCAGATCCTTACATCGATTTCCTGGTACATTGTATACCTTTATCAGTATCTGGGTATATCTATATTGTTGTATAGCATCATATGACGTCGACAGTATTGTGCTTCCTATTCAGAGTTAAACATTATGTAAATATGCATATCTCATCTAGATCGCATCTACGACGCTATCTGAAATTGCGATCGTTGTATTTTTTATGTATAGTATGTGATCGATCTACGGCACAATCACTTGTTCTCATGTCTACTATATTGTTTCTTCCGGAAACTCAAATATATGACACAGCAACATATAATACCTTCGCGATAAAACCAAACTAAGTCGTACAAGGAAACCTTTTTCATTTGTTTCATTTCTTTTAACCAACAAAAGTTATCCTTCTGATATGCATCTATTGAATCACTTCTTTCAAGTAAACGTTGCGATTCCAAGATAAAAGCGTACAAGAGCCAGTTTCTCCAAATGTTATAAGTACAAACTTTTCCTTTAACATATGTAGAAGAAATCAGTAATATATTTGTCTTTTACAGACAGCGTGAACAATCTGTTATTAGTAGATAGTTCTGTTGACAGGAGAATGTCGCCGACGTAGAAATGTGTTAGTGAAGAAATGAAATAATTGTGCAGTAATCGCGTGTCTTATGCACCTTTCAAGACATTCCATATTTTTTTAATATTACACACCGGAAATTTCGCTGGATTTGTATGTTTTCAGCTTTTTCCCTCTATGATAAGGGCGAATGTATTAGTACAGAGAACGTAATATACATTGTAACAAAATTTGAAGGGCGAAATTAACACTGATCGAAAATTGATAGCATGGGCGAAGGGCGAAAGTTTGAACGGGCGAACATTTCTCGGTATAAGATTTCGAGTGCCGAATGATCCTTCTACAAAGTTTTTTTATCTATCACATGTATAAAAATGGTGAACGGGTTTCTCGTTTATACATAAAATAGTTTATAAAGCAGCTTCTATATCAAAGGATGGAGGGAATAGCGCATGGCCCAACGCTACTGTTATTATTATTAATAATAAACACATTAAATAGATTATATTGTTTCTTATTTTTTACTCCGAAATAAACAAGAGCTGTTGGAGAACAACATAGCTCGCCTATGGGGGATATATGTCGCTACATCAATAGAAACACATGTACAGTAAAACCTTGATATAATGCCCGTCATTTCATTTGCCACCTCGCTAACTGTCAACATATTTTAAGGTCCCTTTATTCTGTTTTTCTTAAGAATTCCTCAATTTACTGCTGAACCCCTTTATAATCCCATTTTTTTTTAACAAATGATAGAAATATAACAAGATTTTTCTGTACCTCAACATATTGTACATTTCAAAAGAGATGACTCGACAACATGTTTACTGTGGTGATCCAATAGTGCACATAAAATTTCACCAATTTAGCTGGTTTTGGCACCTAAAATATGGAAATATAGTTCAGGACATTGCTTACACTCCATATAAATGCATCCACCTTATAATACACAACAATGGAGTGTGATGATCCAACATTGTCTGGAAAACGCTTGCCCAAAAACGTGGGACGCCGACGCCGGGCTGAACATGATGGGTAGACTGTTGCATCGCTTAAAATAACACAAGGACAAATTGTACTGGAGTTATCCATAAGAATTGAAATACTAAACGCTGCTGATGGGCCAAGATTTTATTTTGAAGTTAGTTTAACAAGCAGAAATACTATCGTTGTGTTAAACGTAAAATTGCAATACTACTGAACCACCCCGGAAGATTTTTGTTTCCATTTTGCATGATGCATACACTTATTTGTACTAAATGCTGAATTTTGATTAATATATTTTCTATAAAACAATTTCAAGAAATGTTAAATGTTAGTAGTTTTCTAATCCATGTATCAAACATACTAAGTAGGGCCAACAATTACAAATCTATAAGCTTCTTGTATTTCGTACACACAAAATATTTGTTAAACCCTTTCACGCCTATGTAATTTGATAAACTCGACAATGCATTGATCTGGATAAGTTCATTATGGTCTACAGTGGTGAAAGGGTTAAGATCATATTTGTTAATTAAAACGGCATGCCATGAAGATGTGGTACGTATACGTTATACTTTATGCACTGTAGACATTTTGTTGAAATCTCCTACATATACTGTCAGGTGCCAATGGTGGCAGTAAATCCAACTTGATACAAAGTTTTGATTTTGGCAATATTTTCTTCAAGGGGACCTTTTTTGCACCATATTTCATAGTTACTTATGAACAACTGGAAATTGGTGCATTTTACTATTCAATTTTTTATTAAGGAATAATCAGGAAACTGCATTACACTAATCTGGAATTTCAGATAATTCAATTTCAAAACGGCAGACAACACTTTTAAGTGTATAGCTAATGAACATTCTTTTTTTATTGACTCAAACAAAGGGATAAATAACCATAATTTATCCATTCAGAAACGCTCTGAAGTGTGTAGCTGATGTATGGAACTGAACTAAATCTAGACCACATTTTCGCTACAAAACCACGTTTGTTTTACTGCCCACCATGCTGTAAACATGGTAGAAAAAAAAGCCAATTATCTTTGATGTACTAACGAATTTCTCATTTCAATAGACCATGGAAAAAAGACAGAAAAGTCTTCAAGTTATAACAAACCAGAACATTGCATCCAAGGCAAACTGTTTCCTAGAAAAACAATCACAAAACATTGCACTGTAATGTCGCCTGCCAAGCAATATCAGTCAATCTTAACTCATTCACCCCTGAAGACACATTTGGACCCTTCCAATTCAAAGGTTGGAATAGTTCATTATGAAACTTCAGGGGTGAATGAGTTAAGTTAGAATTAAAAATACTGTGCCATACATTGCAGTATATGATGCTGTCCCTTTTTTAAGGCTATACAATACATGTGTAAAATCCAATGTCTATAATTAGACGAACAGCAAAAATGTAATTATGTAAAATATTCTAAAACCCTATTTTTTAGAAATCTTCATTTCTGCTTAAAGCTGAAAGGCACATGACAAGATTAAAAAAAAAGTGTTTTTCCTCACATACAGAACATCTATAACTTAATATACTTTTTGTATGCTTGTACACCTGTACAATAGGGTCAAATAAGGCTATTCTTAAAAAAAATATGTTTGCAGTTCCCCTACTTGCATTTTTTCACTGCATATTGAGGTAGGATTTTTTTTTTATTCTTAGAAATCTCATATTTCTCATACTTTCAGTGATTTTTCAGCAAGATAAAAAGGTTTTAGCAAAAGTCCAAAAAAAAATTCAGCACTATATTTTAAGAATACAACAAGCTTATAATTAAGATTACAGAAATTGTCATACTTTCTAAGCCTGCAATGAAGTGTCATGAGTGCCTTGCTTGAAAAATACTTGATAAGGCATATGATTTTTTTTTTCGTTACACAACCAGTTAGTAGTATGGTATGTACTCTGTCACCTTCATCAGTCAAATGACCAGTGAAGCGTATGCACACACAGGTGTAAAATGTGTACGATATGTCCACAAATCGATGTCGATACGCTGCAAGCATATGTACAAAAGTTGTTATATATGTACCAAAATGACTAGATTTGAGCCTGGTCAGTTGTCTGATGAAGGTGACAGAGTACATACCGTACTAGTCATCAATACGTCACATAGAAACACTCATTGGTTTTGTAACAAACAAAAATCATAATCCATACTTACCAACCTGAAGAACACGTTTAGAAATCCTTGATAAGGCACCATACAGCTACTGCCCCGAACAGGTGGCTAACTTACCTCATAAGTACTAGCCCAACAGGGGGATAGGTTACGTCCTGGCTTATCTCACCTAACAGGTACGTCACTTTCTCAACTTTATTTTATCAACATCATATATTTAGTCTAAAATATTGCTATAAAAGGGTACACAACTGGTTATTTTATTATGATAAGGCAAACAGTATGTCCACAACAGATCAAGGATGTCTGAGAGACAGGAAACTATAGTCTATCACAAACTTTTTAATTATGGTCCAATGACGTTTTTTTCTAATCGTATTTTAAAATGCAAATGACACGTGTCCTAATTTGTACATAAATAATTTGCTAAACAGCAAAATGAACCTACTGGTGATTCTCAAACCATACATCAAGGCGAAAAATGATGTTATATATAACTCATAACGTTAATGAACAATACATCAAGGAGAATAATGATGTTATATATAACTCATAACGTTAATGAACAATACATCAAGGAGAATAATGATGTTATATATAACTCATAACGTTAATGAACCATACATCAAGGAGAATAATTATGTTATATATAACTCATAACATTAATAAACCATACATCAAGGAGAATAATGATGTTATACATAACTCATAACATTAATAAACCATACATCAAGGAGAATAATGATGTTATACATAACTCATAACATTAATAAACCATACATCAAGGAGAATAATGATGTATCAACTTGAGCAAGGTTCTGTTTGAACAACAAAAACTATGCTTAAATTCTTAATATCTCAAAAGTGTGTATGATTTGCTTGCCATTGGCGTTGCGGTGCCACTGAAAGAATAAATTACCAAACAAATTGCAATTGTCCATTCTATTGGGACATATAACATGCTGCTTTAACACAATTGGGACACTTTCTTGGAGGCAAAAAATCTAGAAAGGCTAGACATAGCTGGACCAAATTTGTCCATGTTCTGCAGACTCTTTACAATCCAAGATGGCAGTTTCCCACTCACATTTCTACGACTGTACCGTTTATCTAGTAACAGAATGGATGAGTAATCCCCCTTGTGACGAATGGCTCTTCCAATAGACTGGTTTACAGCCTTCATGCACAAGTTCTCATAGTGAACCTGACCTGGCTGGCGACCATCTTCCCCTGGTTTGAAGTTTGCATTCAGGTAGTCCATTTTCTCTTTGAGTTCTGGAGATTTGATGTTCGGATATGGAAGTCCAACCATTATCACACACCTTCCAAGTTCATCTGAAAAGTTTATTCCTTCGCTCATTTTCCCACCAACAACACAGAAAAGCAGGGCCCCTGTTAGACTGTTTGTAGCGCCCATTGCACTACTTGTGGCTCCTGTTGAACTCTTCTTGATGCACGCAGAAAATTCAGCAAGGACCTGATCAACCTGACCAGATTTCCGTGGTTCCTGAAATACCCGTTTCTTACGAGCAATCCGCTGTGTGAAACCTGTTGCCTCCCACTGGGCATAAACAAGTTTGAGGTAGTCATAGGATGGGAAAAAGCAGACAATACCACCCGGTACAACCTGACACACATTCTGGATCAACATGCCAAGCTCATCCAACAGTTTCCTGTTCTCTCTTGATTGGTAGGTGAAGTCAAGTGTATGTCCACTGGGTCCTGATCCAAGTGACAGTGCCAGGAGATTGTCCTCTGGGATTACATGACCACAGGAATATTCAAGTAGCCGAGCAGGATGGACACCCGCAGAATGGAAAAGTTGATCTTTGAATTCTGAAATCGGCTGCATGGTACCTCCAGCAACAATTACTGACCGAGCTTCACTCAGAACATCAGAGAAATGAACAGCAGGATTAAGGAGTAGATATTTCATGCTTGACTGACTCAGCATGGTCTGTTTTGTAATGACAATTCGCCCATCGCTGTCTGCGTTGGTCAGTGCCTGCAGGAAACCTTCAATGTGCATCAGTGGCGATCGTAACACCACATCCTCTGCAGATTTCACCTCTGGTGTCACATTTGGAGAGGCTCCCTGAGAAATTTCTGGATTTGTTATTTCACGGAGGAAACTTAAGACCCCAGCATTCCCTGTGACTGTTTTTGTTTCCTCTTTAGGAGTCACCTCTGCATTTGGATATTTCTCCACAAAGCCATTAAGTTTTCTGGAGATCATGCTCCTCTTACAATACTGCAGTATTTTGAAAAGATTCAGATTGTCAAGCTTTGCCTGAAACAGAAAATCATTCGCTGTGCACATCTTAGTCTCTGCCCTGCCAGTGAACTGCTTCTCCCCAGGTACCCCAGCTTTACCTCCGATAACTTTCAGCAGACATGACAGAACAAACAAGATCTGTTTGATGTACATCAAGTTCTTTGCCTTCAAGCGTGATCTGTACCTGTAATAAAAAATCATTTAGACTTAAAGGTATGGTTTCATGTCAAATTATCAAACCTTTCATAAACTTGCTTGTAATAAAAACAATTATAACATTTTGTCAAGAATAAGGTCAGACTCTCAGAACAGAAAGAAAGTACATTTTAATGAGTGGCTTTAAACTTTGCCTGGCTAATAAACTAATCTTAGATACAAGGTAGGGGATACAATATCTAGGGTCGCCAGTACTCCAACAATGTTAGAGGTTTTACACGGCGAAAAACTTTTGGCAGGCGCCGCGTAACCTCTAACTGCCCATAGCTGATTTTCCTGATACTGACGATCACATTTTCAAAGTTCGGATTAAGAAAGAGTATATCGTGTTTACATACATTTAAATGGTCAAAAGGGTCCAAAAAATAATCTTTTCCATAAATCCATGATTATATGGGAAAAATTTCGTGTCAAAGACATAAATAATGAGTTTTTCCTCATTCGAAGCGAAGCAGACAGCATTTGCCATGATTTTTCCGGTTAATACAAAAATGGATTACATGTAATGTTTCACAAGCGGAATACAAACAAACTCCGTATCATTTCGTTCCGTTTGAAATCCCCCCTGCTATTTTGTATTAATCCAGAAGCCATGTTTTAAATGTAGGTCAGAGATGTGCGACAACGACATGGACATGTATTTTGAGTGTTCTAGTCCGTAATATACTATATATTTGTGTCTGTGACATACATATGAGATCTATATTATATAAACCGTGAGTAGACATCGTTGTCATGAACTGTTAACCACTTAAGTGAGTTTTTCAAGCCGATTTTGTTCCGCCCGGATTTCGGGCGGAAACTGCATCAAAGAATTAGTGCTTCGGAAATGAGAGGTTGCAGTCGGCAAAATCATATCCGATTGGAAAAAGGCCGACCAGCGCCCTCTCATGTTATGGGAGTAGGGTCGCCAGTAGATCAAGGGTAGGTTGGGATACCTGAAACACACATACAAGCAATGTTTTTTGGGGGGTTTTTTGGCCTGATATACCCATGACATATTTCACAAGACTGCAAGTTGAAGAACTGTTGACTCTCATTAACTGACCCTTTGACCTCCACACAGTTTATATTGTATGCATGTACCTCTCCTCGTACTGTGTAAGCTGACTATGAGCCCTCAACAACTGCGACCCTGTAACTTCAACACTGTGAATGTTGTTGATGGTTTCCAGCAGGTTGTGAGCTTCATCAATAAGAACGATGTTGCCCTCCAGCTTGATGCCGCAAGCTTGCCTTGTGGCTTTGTGGAGAAGAAGGTTGTAGGGCAGTGCCACAATCTCAGCTAGAGGTATGCCATACCGTGTTCCATAGAAAGGACAGGCCTTCATTTCCTTACCTGTATGTAGAGAATATTCATGGTTGCATAATGATAATGAATTCAAGTTATATATCACAAGTGCAGTGAACATCTTTTAATATGCACAGTTTACTAACATTCAACCCCATAAAGAAGCTTGGAAGTGGCGATGGTCAATGCTGTGATCAACATGATCAAAAGGTGGCAGTTTAGCCGGGGGCTAGCCACTGTACATACTAAATACAAATACACCACTGATAGGTCCTATTTGACCTAATAAGAGCAACTGCTTTAATTACAGCACTCCAAGGGACTTTAAAAATAAATGCTTGTTTTTTGAACAATGTTATACATCTAGATTTCATCATTTTCAGTAGACATCCACTCATTCAGTCAGTTTTATTTATATTTGAAAATTCCATCACAAAAAAAACACCTGCAGTCATCAATGCAACCTATGAGTACAGCGATTTTTTACCTATTTTTGTGACTGTTGATTTGGGAAAATATCAAATATGATTTTGGGAAAATATTTTTTTTATTGTTTTGAGTGAAAAACAGCAGAAACTACCCAGGGGAAGGGGCCTTAGGCACCAAGACCTTAAAAAGTCACTGGAGCAATGAAATGAAAATAAAGGTACCAAAAAAAAGACTGTCATTACCTTTCGCGATGATTTGCTCCATATCTTTGACTTCCAAGAGAAGCTCCTCCTTCAGCTCATCCATCCCTTCATGTCGGTAGTAGGGACACTTCTCTGGACGTTTTTTCCTCCGCTTTGTTTTTCCCTCACCTGTATCATCTCGTTTGTCTGATTTGGACTTTTGCATATCTAAACAAGCGTCATTTATCAGACTTATAGACTTCAGTTTTTTCACGCTTTCATTGATACAGAGGTTTTGTCGTGATCCAAGGGAGACAACTCTTGTGTCTTCTCCATATGGACTCTTCACAACCTCCCTGACAAACTGTGAAAGCTGTGAATGAGTCCTGCTACAGTAATATATCTTTGTGATATGACACTCCTCTTCCTCATCATCCGATTTCTCGTCGTGCTTTTCTTCATCACTCTTGTAATCTTGTACAATCAGATCATCATCTTGATCCAACGTGTTTCCATCAACACTTGCATCACCGTTGGTTACCTTATCAATTTCTGAATTAAATGCTTCCTGAATTTCTTTAGAAGCACCTTTAATCAGGTCATCAAATTCGTCCTCCATCTTCTTGCGTTTCTTTGCTTTGCCGTGATGACTTGACCTTCGCTCTTTAACCTTTGACTCTTGTTTTTTCAAGAGCACATGCTCACTAATAACTTTTTTTAATTGCTCTTCTTTTTCTTTCTTCTGTACGAATTCAGTAATCCAGTCTAGCTCTGTGTTGTCTTGCTTGTTGCATGTAGTGACAATGTTCTCTTTGTTTCCTTGGTCTGTTGTCAAGGCTTCCAACTCTTTCCTCTGTTTCTCCTGGAAATCACAACAAGATTCACATATTTTTAACACAAACTTAAGACATAATGTCAAGTGTGTGAAGGCAATGTCCATTTCAATGTGCTATCATGATCAGCTTTAGCCCCATGTAAAAGTGCCTGGATTGAGCTAACATAACAGGGATTAACAATTTCATATAACGTACACCCCTGAAATGTTTTCTGACTATGATGTGTTTCTGGTTTCATCCTTCCAAAACCTTTGGTATCACATTTTTAGTTGAATTTAATATTTTATTTCTTTCGTTATTTTTTTTATCAACATTTCATTAAAAATGGTATTAAACAGAAATAGGCATATACATGTATATATGATTTTGGTTGTAATATGTCTTATAAATGTGGGTTTTTTATCATGAAAATATAACATACCATTGAACAATGAAGTTCAAATATGCCATATTCCTCCATTACTGCTTATTAAGAGTTAACCGACGACAGACTGATATGAAAAAGTCGATAAAATGTCAGAATAATTCGGACTAATTAAGAGTATGAATGTGTATTACAAAATGATTTAATTACATTTTATATGAATGTTTTGGGGGGATTTTATGAATATAATATCTTTTTCAATTGTGGTACAAAACCTTTATGGTCTACAGGAAACAATAGGGTTAATTTGAGTAAACCTGAAACACATATATTTATTTTAGGTTAGTAAACAGAAAATAGAAGGGATACAAGACAGCCTGTTATTTCATTTCACTATCCCAAAAAGAATCAAGGCAAAAGAAACTATGGTTGAATGGTAAATTTGTAATAGAAATATATTTCAGTGGATGGAATGCTGACAAATGTTCACTTAGATTTGTAACATTTGCTTTCACCTCATTCAAGAGTACTGAACCCAGTATTCTTGTATATAAAACAAATACTTGCTTGTAAATCCCTGAGCCACTTTAGTGCCCCACATATGAGGCTCAGTGATTTGCCTGTCCCCGTCGGACTTTCAAAGATCCCAATCTTGCCTTGTTCCAGACATCTGTACAGATCCACCATGAAATTCTGCTGGATATTGTAAGGCTCAAATGGAAAAGGAAAGGAGTCTGGAATCTCAACATTAGCATAGACTGGTAGATCTGGATCTTTTGACTTTGAACAAGCAACTGCAATTAAACAAATGAAAATTATGAAAGTGTGCTGGAGGTTAAACATCTAAGGAAAGTTACAAGTATGCTTCATTATCATAAGCAATGAATTATGAAGATGACTCCAGTTTTTATTTCCTCAAGATATAATTTATCCATGTGTAATACTCTAAAATCTTGACAAATCACAGCACATATTTTAGTAATTAATAAGAAATTACTGACTTACTTTCAAAATTGGCCTATTTTCAAGGCAGTCTAATTAGTTTTTGAAGACATTTAGACAATGTAAACCATCAATTGCTCATAATGAAGTCCTTAATTCTTTTGCATCGAACAAATATCAAAAATATTTAGACAGTGTAAACCATCAATTGCTTACATTGAAGTCCTTAATTCTTTTGCATGGAACAAATATCAAAAACATTTAGCCAGTGTAAACCATCAATTGCTTATATTGAAGTCCTTAATTTTTTTGCATGGAACAAATATCAAAAACATTTAGACAGTGTAAACCACCAATTGCTTACATTGAAGTCCTTAATTCTTTTGCATGGAACAAATAATGTGTTTGTTAAACAGAATTATTTAACGAAATTAAAATTTATTTATTTCTTTTATCCAATTGTTGCAATAATAAATCCTGTAATGTAATACCTTAATTCAACACCTGTAAAACCTGTTCAGGGTGTCATGGTGGTGCCTACCTGGAATCCAATGCATATTTAAGACCCGCCAATTTTCAAAGACAGCTGAATATCAAAGTATGTTTGACTGCAAAGAATCCAAGGCTTATTTTCAATGTCGACCAATTTGCAAATCAGACTTATTATCAGGATTTTAGAGTATAACGGAAATTTGATGTTAAGTAGATTTTGGTCCGACTCAATTTGATACATACAGGACTAAAAATGCTGCATTGGTTTAGCTATCAAGGCCAGTTTTTTATATCTTGCTGAAGGAGATATGGTTGTTTAAATAACAAATAAGCCCAAATAAGGTAGATGCACCAGTGGGTCAGAAGTGTGAAAGATGTGCATTGATTAGGTTTGCCTTACAAGCGTCATCTGTAGGGAATTTCCCTTTAGCTCAGCGGTAGTCCGAATTATTCCGACGTTTTATCAACTTTTTTTTATATCGGTCTGTCGTCATCGTTAATCGACGACAGACCGATATATAAAAAAGTCAATAAAACATCAGAATAATTCGGACTAGCTCAGCGGTAGATCATCAGGCTGGAGAGTCTAAGGGTCGCAGGTTCGATCATTTAGCCCCAGCGACAGCACCAACTTTATCACTATTCCTTGTCCTACTACAGGCACCCCACACCAGTCTGTACATGATATGATGATCAATTACAATACTGCACATTATATTTAAGAATTATGGGAGATATTTTATGTCCAAACCATTTTTCCCTTCTGTTATCACATCTTGATTAGGTGAACCAAACCTTCAACTTCATTTTCACTAACCTTTTCCTGAAAATTTACTTTAGATCAAACATATTTGTTTTAAATCAAATGTGCTTGTTGTTTCATGTCAAGGAAAAAGTACATGAATGTGGTATTCATTTGTCTATAATGCTGAAAAAGTCATCAAGATTTCCGAAACCATGCACACAATAACTGGAACTGGAACAACCCTAGGCTACAGTACTAGTCCAAAAGTAACAAGTTGCGAGTGACACTCTTCCTTACCATTTGAAGGTTGTTCGTTTTGATTAGATAACGTATCCGTATATAACATAGAAGCCAAAGCATCGTCCCCATCATTGTCAAAATCATCCATCGTTGATGACAGCTCGGTAGAGCTCTGACCACACGTGTGTATGATCCCCTGTCAAATTAGCGCGCCAAATTGGCTACATATTACAATAGACGATACGGCTTCTGGACAAATATTCCGGATACGGGTTAGCAGTTTATCAAAAGAAATGAACAAAATGTATAACAACGTATAAGACGTTCTGTTCTATATAAAATTTGTGAATGCTTTATAGTGGCAGATTTATAGTGTTGATGTTATAAATATTCTTAAATAAATTCATTAAAAAACAGTATTTCGTTAAATAATATATCTAACTCAAAAGGGTGTGATTAGACTATTAACGGCAGTACCTAAAAGTTAAGAAATAATAATATAACATTATGGAGCAGGGCTGTCCACAGACCACGCGGTTTCGTTTTGTAAATAAGGAACTATAGATTACTGATTTTTTTTTTACCAAAGACACTGCAATTACAATCAATAATTTCGATTCCTTCTTCAGAGATGCAATCATTTGTCCCAGTTTTAGTATCATACACAGTGTCAATCTTCTCGGGTCAAACTTGTTATGGGTGGGGGGTGGGGTGGGGGATCCTTGAAAATGACATCATTTAAATACTAATTATGATTTAAAATGTAATAATGCCCGCTTTTTTTTCAAGAAGTACTAATCATATGTGTCTTATTTTATATGAAGGCTTTCCTTTGGTCTGTAGCTGTGCATGTTTCAATTTGAGACTGACCGGGGAAAAGATGGCACTCAGATAGCCATCTTCGATTTTGTCATGTTAGTAAGTAAGTTCTTCATATTCACTACTTTTTGCATATGTCGTTAAGGTCTTCAGATATCGTGATCAGAAGATAATATATGACTGTCTGAAAATAGAAATCCGCTCTTTTGTTCTATATTTGAAACATCACTTTTTCAGTAAATATATGTATGCATGGATAAAAAAACGACCTTAATTTGAAAAGAAACCGTCAAACCCAGCTATATGAAGTTTAAATAAAAAGTCAATATTAGTTTAACTGCTGACACGACTGTCAATCCAACAGATAGGAGAAAAGAAGAAAAGATATCTTCAAACTTACTTATTGAACTAATGTAGATCTTACAGTGCAGCCTGGGTGCCAAGATCCCGTAATATAATGCTTCAATCCCTCTACTGGTATAACGAAATCACTGTTGAACACCTTCTCTTCGGAGATGCAAATCTTGACTACAATCTAAACATTCAAATGTGTAGGTCTGTACAACTGTTCATTTTTAGCTCCAAACGGTTTAACATGTACTACCCAACAGTCATATTGAATAACCAGGATACCTACTTCGACTATTCCCATCTGTCTCTCCCCTCCACCTCCTCTCTTATTCAAGTCCCTATCCCTTTTTCCAACACCAACGATATCTATGTGTTAACTTCAATCTTAGCGTCCATCAATATCTATGACAAAGAGCGCGTGTCCGGTTTTCCTAATCTAGACGGCTATGTATGTAAGGCAGGAATTCACAGAAGGACTTGGAGTGACACAGGATAAAGGCAAAAGTAGAAGGATATGTGTGTATAGATTATTTAGGTATACTTACTACTTACGCCGACTCGATTAGGAAAATCACACACGCGATCTTAAGTAAACTCTTCGAATACATATTTAAAAACTATACGTTGGTGTCCCTAATCCTATCATTACCTCTTTTGCTGTAACCCATCTTTAACATCTTATATAGATATATACATATATATAAATTTGTTTTAAGTTATTACGTGACACATTAATTTTGTATATATTTTCTGTTACGGAAAGGACGTAAGTAAGTTGCAATAACTATTGTCCAATCCATTTGTCTTTTGTTGCAATAAAATTGATTTAAACTAAAGCCAAGATCCCTCTGAGATCTCTTGTTTTTATATGCAAATTTTATGAATTGAAATTAAATCCATGGTTAAAGTTATGTAGCAGAACAGGACTAACTTGTTCATCGGCGATCAGGTAGGTAGAGCGTCCGTCTAGAGTTCGGAGGTCCCGGGTTCGAATCCCGATCTGGCCGTGAATTTCCCCGGTCCTATAACACTTATTTTATTTCCATTATTTTAATTTTGAGTATCGCGCCGAATGAATATAAATTGTTTGCTTGTTTTATATCCGGCGTCAGTATCAATGGAAGGCATTACTTTTTGCCTTTTACTCATAAACTTTGGATTCCACTTAATCCATGGACGTATATATATTACATATATACAGTTATGCTTAATCTACCTTGAAATCTGGTAACATTATTAAATATATATATATGTATATAAATATAAACTTTCTTTATTTTACAACAATGATGAAACAAGTTATTTCAACTTATATAAAAAATATATATATATATTAATCACTCTCGTTGTTGGCTCGGATGTGAGCGCGCGGGGATCTTAACTGGGAAGAAACCGCAGTACACGGAGAAAACACACGTGGTCGGGCAGGTGACCCCACACCTTTTCGCGTCTGATCAGTGGATCGAATCCCGACCGCCTTGGTGAATGACAGGAGCGCTATCAACTGCGCCACCCGACCACCCCAAATTTTCAGGGAGGAGGGGTTCCATGTGGGGAAATTGGTGATTACATGATTTTTTTGATTTTTTAAGAAAATTCTCAGGCTCGGGGAGAGGGTTCCTGAAGCCCAAAAACCTCTGGATCCGCCACTGCACCCTTAACATTATTCACATTATTACAGATATTGCTTCCTATTCCGGGTAACTTTGAGCTATGTTACCACTTTTTTTGTATATAAAGACAAATAAAATACCGAGAATTAAATACTTCAATGGAGCTACGCCTGGTATATTTATGAGCATTAGAAAATCTCTATTTTTTTCTCCATTTTTGTCGAGTTTTTATTTTGTTCTTTGTGTCAGAGTTGAGGCTATTTTTTTCAATTAATTTATGAAATAAAATACAATTGATTTTTTTTTAACATTGATAACATATAAAATAGTTACTGGAGTTTGCTACTTTTTGTTCCGCAATTAGCCATCTCCGTTTTCATACAATGTATTAGTATTTCGAAGCTCGATTAAATATGACCAATGAAAACATTTGTTGCAAATAGATCACCTATTCATGTCAAAATAAATTTGATTGGCTGGCTGAAGAGGTCGAAAGGTTCATTCAAGATGGAACCCGTAGGAGGAAGACCCCATCGATATTCACAACAAATATGATGCATTCTAAGTAATGTCTCTGCTGCATTAAGGTGCAAGGTAAGCAGACGAACGTGTACGGGACTCAGCTGTCATTTTGAATAGGAAAGCGTGTGTTTACGGTAAACGCACCAATGATGTCAACCAACAGCTGTGAATAATCGGAGATTATGTTCATGTTTTTCAACGTTAACTCTGACAATATGACTGACAGTGACAGCGAGAAAACGTCATCACCTCTTCTATTTTGGAATAATTTGAATTTTAACAAGTGAAAGTATGCATGCTCTTCGTTTACGTTATTCTTTCTCCTATATTTAAAAAAGTACAAAATGAAGCTGACAGTCACTGACTTTTGCATCTCATTAGAATAACTATGATCTATCGTTGATAGTTTTTTTAGTGATATTTAAAAATTCAGATCTTGTATCTGGAATGTTTCTTGATTCTTGACAAAGACTACCTATGGTGGTTCATTTTCAGAAAAAAAGTTTTAATTCTAAGTATTTTGTTTTTGAAAATAGAACGCTAAACTCGCAGTGAGATTTCGTCCGTTTTTCAGCCTTGATTAGTACACAAATTGGTACACCATATCACAGGCTATTGAGTATTGTTTTAACAAATTTTATTATATATATATATTAACATATATATAAATGGATAAGATAACAGGCTAGACCTATATCAATCTTCACAGTCTATGAAACTTGTTTTTAATTTTACTAGTTGATGTGCCGATTGCAACAAAATTTATTGCTTTTATAAATACCATACTGAACTTCATTTGTTTACATACACTTTTATAATATCCAGTTATAAGGACCAGAAATCAACATTTAAACATGCTCATATTTAACCCCTTCAAAATTGTCCAAAATTTCGTCCATGTATGTCATGTTTACTGGTTTTCTGATATGTTTAGTTTGAAGTCGTCCTGTACTATTAAAATGTTCCTGAAAACAAAACTATTCAGTGGAAATGCTGATAAATAACTATTTTGTTATACTGTCAAATGAAAATGCTCAAATTTAATATTTTAAAGTACTATTCAAACCATTTTCTGTCCATGTACCAATTTGGGTAGTGTACCAATTGTGGTAGCGTGACGTTAGCTGTGTCGTAAACAGTTAATCGGGACCATTGCAATGAAGGCGAGTTTGCAATGACTCGTTTCCAAAATTCGTATTTCAAATTACGTTCACTTTGAAATAAAATTAACAAGTGCACATGCAATGCCAGTTAACGTATTATTTCTACCGGCCCAACTGCTGGTGCAGCTTGCCTGAGATTGTGACCTGCCAGGAGGTCATACATGTTCTCATAGAAAACTTGAAAAGTTTAACTGCGAATTGTGTGGTTGCATATCTTAGCAATAAATTAGGATCCCTGTCCCGTTGCAAGAAACAATAGATAAATCCACTTGTTTTTCTTGCATACTATATATAACCTCCCCTGATGAATTTTCTTTTAAAATTATTTTTTTAACAATTATGAAACAAGTTATTGCAAGGCATACTTTTCAGTAATCACTCTTAAGCTTGTTGGCCTGGATGTTAGAGTTTGGAGGGTTTTTAAGTGGGAGGAAACCGGAGTACCTGGAGAAAAAAACTTCTGGTCGGGCAGATGACCTCATACCTTTTCACATCCAATCAGGAATTGAATCCCAGCTTCATTTGTTAAAGGCAAGTGCGCTATCCACTGTGCCACTTGATCATTTTTTTGCCATAACTGTAGCGTGACTGGTACTAGGTACCTTTGTCCAAGGCTTAGTTTTAATTAGAACAAGGACATAAAGCTCCATCAATTGATCTGCGTGGGAACTACTGTTGACCAGGTAGCTTGGTGAGAGCAGTAGTATAATTGGGTGCCTCAGTAGCCGTGAACACTAATTATAACATGAAAAGTCATTTGTAATTTGTGCAATGAAGCGTGAGCTTAAGATCACTCACCCTCGTAAGAATTTCAATTCGATCCCCAGCTGTGGCGGATAAGAAAGTGATATCTGATTGGGTCAGTTGTTATCCCTCCGATGGCACAGTAATTTCCCCCGTGGATTTTCCTTTGCTATGAAAACAACATTTGTTCCCATAGCGGCGTTGTAATTAAAACTCTACAGATATAGAGCTAATGTTTGTTGTTGACAATGTACGTACAAGACGTTAAATAAAGATTATTTATTATATTTATTCATTTATAATTATTGAAGGTCCAGGGTTGAATTTTGGTCTGGCCCTGTTGCATTTTTACACTCGGAACACTGTTGTTGACATTTTTCTCCTGTAATTCCGGCTTTCTTCCACCATTGAAACTTGGCACGTCCTTAAATGACCATAGCTGTTAATAGGACATAGAACACTAATAAACCAAACCAGTGTCATAATAGGACATACAATGAGTATTGTAGTGCTGTGTGTTGACTGGGGTTTTGTTATTTTCTAATGATGATAACATTGATTTAATGCATAAGGAAAATTTGACTTTTTGAAATTCCCTGTTCTTTCTAGAAAAATGAAAATTTAATATAAAATAATTTCTGTCTCTAGATGTCTTGGCTAGATGGAGGCTGGAAGTGGCCAGTCCTTGGCCTGATTCTGTTCCTGGTCACCTTTGGATCTTTCGGGTTGCTGTGTATTTCCTACGTCCTGTGCATTATAGCAGGGTAAGTAAAGTATGGCCAACACTGAAGGAGTTTCCAACAGGGATATTGGAGAGTTTATAAATGTGAGGAAATTCACTAAAGGATTTAATCCTGAATTAAAAGAAATTCAAAAGAGTTGAGGCTGGACACACTGGGTGTTTTCCCTCAGCTGTTTAAATCAAGGGGTATATTTATCTTTATTTTCAAGTAACTTTTTGCTTTGTTATTATAGTTTCAACTTCACTCAGTCAAATGTGAGTCAATTCACTGGACACTGATAACAAATCCATATTTACCCAGTGCAAGTTTCCACCTTCACATGAAGCTACTTTAGATTGGATGTTGTTGTTTGTTGTTTACAGTGTCATGATGATGGGGGGGG